CCCCCACCCCGCTTTGTTACTCATTTCGTATCAAGAAGCAAGGCCCCAACCTGTGAGATTTCACCCCTAGCTCCCAGAACTAGGGAGCTGTCGTGTGCTGTGGGTCAATGTCAACTCATAAAGACCCTATGGGAGAGTGGGTCGTATTTGCGAAAGGAAGGAAGGATGGCCCTCTGGCAACCTTCCCACCTCTTTTTGCAGCTCTACTTTGTGGCCTTTTTCCTAAGACCTCTTTCCTTCAGGGCTTTCCTCCCTTTCAGGGGACTCTGATTCCCCGACTCTATCAGGGCTTTCCCCATCTTGAAGGCAGGAACTGTAAGTGGCTCCATCTTGTTCCCCTGTGAAACCTAGTACCCGTGAGAGGGCTATCACCTTGAGTCTTTATTGGTTAACTCCTTGCGGAGAAGTGAAGGTCCAATAAAGAGAAGTGATAGACCTCTGAGGAGAACTGACCCCCCCAGGGGGCTCTTAGTGCTCCAAAAGCTTTCAGTCCCCAAAAACATTGTCCCTAAGGATGACATAGTGAAAGAGATTTAGAGCGCTGGGTGGGTTTTTCCAGCACCCTATGGAGAACATATGGTCATCTGTGAATCCTTGTCCATTAATCCAGTATAAGCCCCATTCCCCTTGCCTTAGTTCCTTCCCAGTAGCATCAAAAGATTTCTAGAAATCCTCATCACTCAATTTTCCCTCCTAGACATCTTAGAGCATCATCTTTCCAAATTAGAAGTTTGACAACAAGGAGTTAATGAGAATAATAGCAAAAGAAAAAAAAAAAGTGAGCGCTAAATGAGCCAGGCTCTGTGCTAAACATTTCATATCACTCTTATTGAATCCTCACAACCAGTTGATGTGGTAGGTACGTTCTTATCCCCACTTTGTAGTTGAAGAAACTGATGCTCAAAGAGGTTAAGTTACTAAAAGTCACACAGCTTTTTGAACCTGGATTTGACTGATTCTCAAGGTTGAACAGGTAAAAATTATGATAGTTTTGATAGTTGTCTTTTCCTAAATGAGAAGATGAGTGAGATTCCTTGCAACTACCCTGACCTCCCCATGAACCATGAGGAGAATGTTAGAAGTCTGGTGAAATTGCACTAGGAAATCTGTTTGGAGAAGTTCTTTGGGAGTATTCTTAAGGTTTATTTTGTTATTTTTCATGGTCACAGACCTGTTTTCACTTCGACATTCTTTTTCTTGGTTCTATGCTCTTTTTTTAGACAGAAATCTCTTCAGAATCCCATGAAAACTATGTACCCTGTTTCCAAAAAATACGTATTGCAGACAAAACTTTGTTGAGATTGTGTCACCATTTTTTGATATAAACCATAGAGATCTTACTCTGGTCAGGAAGCTATCACTAGAATTTATTAGTAGAATTTGTTAAGTATTTGCTATGTGCCAAAAACAGCTCAAATGCTTTACAAACATTAGTTGCAATCCTTCAGCAGCTCTACTAGGAAAATGTCATTATCCATCATTTCACAGTAAGGAAACTGAGGCTGAGAGTGGTAAAATCATACTTAGCTCATAAATTTAAAGTCAGATTTCAAACCTGGAATATCTGATTTTCCAAACCATTTTTCCTATTCTAGAGGTAGCGTAGTGCATAAGGCACTTGACTGCTAACCAGAAGGCTGGTGGTTCAAACCCACTAGCCACTCCTCGGAAGGAAGGTTGGGCAATCTACCTCTGTAGTGATACCGCCTCAGAAACCCAAGGAGGGTCACTATGAGTCAGGTCCAACTTGACGGCACATAACAACAACAACAACAGAGCTACCTCCAAAATACATACCAAAAATAAGGGCTTTCTGACATCAGCACTTCACTGAAGGTAAGAGACAGTAAGCAAAGAAAGTTTAAATCAAGACCTTTGGGATAAGGCAACTCCACAGCAGTGCTTCTGAGAGAAGCAATGGAATAGAAAAGTCCAAACTCTTCCCTGTATTTCTTCCTAGGAATCAGTTCTAGGAAGGTAACTAGGACCAGACCTAGAGGAAGACTAGTTTTCCTTAAAGCCAATACATTCACTTTGTAATGAAATAATGTGGGTGGATTGCAAAGAAATGTATCATAATAATTAAGAGCCAGGTCAACGGAATGAATCCCTCTGGGAGAATTTCTGAAAATAAGCAGAATCATGGGACTGATTTGTTTATTTCAGTTGTTATAGCTGATCAGATTGGGGAGAATTTTGTAACTTCTTCAATAATTAAGCTGAGTTAAACCACCAATGGTGACAAATTAACTCAAACCAGAAGACCAAGTCCACAAAAGCTGGCATTTATTATTTATTATTCAGTAAATTTATGATTCCACCTGGTGTTGTAAACTTTACACTGTGATAGTCAAAGGTCACTGGCTGCCTAGTCAGTTTTAAAGAGAAAACAAAATGAAAAAGTATCGATAAAGTGACAAATATGGGATTCAAAATCAAATTTTTAAGAAGACATGGAAAAGCATTCTCCTGAGAATTATTATAAGGATAAAGAAGTGAACACTTCTCCTCTGTGTCCACAATACCTCTATTGCGATGTTCGTTACTATGTAGTAGTATAATTATCAACCAACTCATCTGTTACCCCACCTTTATCAGACCATGAGAGCTTTTGGAAATAGATATTGTTTGCTCTGTCCTCGGAAAAACAAAGAAGAATTGATGCATTTAGATTATGATGTTGGCAAAGAACATTGAAAATATCAAGGATTAATAGGAGCTCTGGTAGCATAGTGCCTAAGGCACTTGACTGCTAACCAGAAGGCTGGTGGTTCAAACCCACCAGCCACTCCTCAGAAGGAAGGTTGGGCAATCTACTTCCTCAGAAATCCAAGAAGGGGTCGCTAGGAGTCGGGTCCAACTCGATGGCACATAACAACAACAACAACAAGCCAGAAGAGTGAACGAATCTGTCTTGGAAGAAGTATAGCCATAATGCTCCTTAGAAGCATATATTTCTTCTTTGTACGTTGGACATATCATCAGTTTCTAGAGAAGGACATCAGGCTTGGGAAAGCAGAGGGTCAGCGAAAAAAAAGGAAGACTATCAACAAGATGGATTGACACAGTGGCTACAACAGTGGGCTCAAACATAGCAATGATTGTAAGGATGGCACAGGACCAGGCAGCGTTTTGTTCATTGTACACTGGGACTCTATGAGTTGGAGGCAACTTGACCACACCTAGCAACAGCAACACTAATTGCCCAATGTCTAATACATGGTAGGTTTGGGAAAATGCTTGTTTGAAGAGGGGAGATAAAGATCTCCATAAAGTAAATCGCATTGAAATGTCTGGTTCAGCTTGGTGGTACAATTCTTCCTTCATTTTTTTGTTTGTTAGAACTCAAACTGTTGATTTTAGGGTGTGTTCATCATGTTCTCTGGTACCTGTTCCTGTTGCAGATAGACTATTTGTTTTTGAGTTTTATATTATCAATAAAGAGATTATAATTGTCAAAATAATGCCCCTAATAGAGACTCTCCTTTTATTCATTAAAGGTGGGAGAATAGAAGCTCAAGGTCACTTCAGTAGGAAGTAGGACGTGTGTGTTAGTTCTCTATTGATAACACACATTTGTTCATTCTTTTTGAGTGTTTGTCTGTGCTCTGGGACTAGTAAAGAAACATACACCTTAAGCATTTAGCCTGGCATTTCAGTAGAACAACGTTGAAGATAAAAAAATTTTGTCCTAAAATATCAAACTGAAAAATATACCAATCTTGTTATCCACTTGTGACATTCTTGTCCTGCTCGACCTTGTTGTTTTCAGGTAGTATGATAGTGAAATAAAAAGAGAACTAAAATGATGTGGTCTCTGATCTCAACACCATCACTTACTACCTGGGTGATCTTGGGCAGATCTCTCAGCCTCTGGAGGGTCAATTCCTCACCTATATGTTGTATGATCTTACCTGTCCTATTGATCTCCCAGAGTTTTGTGAGTATCAAATGAGAAAATTTATGTAAGTGTACTTCTGAAACTTTAAGTTATTAAGGTATTATTTAATCGGAAAAATGACATACAGAAGTTAACAGTGCCTACAGCCTTTAAGGCTAAAAGTCTCTATTTGGACTACTATTCAGAAAAATCTAGTGCTGTAGTAGTTATACAGTAAATTTAAACATAGGAGCAATAAGTTGTATGAAGGATGGTCCAAGAAAGTTTGGAACTCTGACAAGCCGCAAATATGTCCTGTTTCTTCTTCAGAGATGGATTCCTCCAGGTAGATTGTTTGTCTTGATATTTTCTTCATGGTGTGCAGGTCCCAGTGGGCAATTCACTTAATAAAAGTTTATTGCTGTAAAGTATGTCGGTAAGGA